AATAACATGTTTTCATTTACACACTAACAATGAGCTCCCAAGGCTCTGTGAAGACAAAACAGTCTGTGTGTTTGTGTGTATGTGTGTGTGTGTGTGTGTGTGTGTGTGTGTGTCTGTGTGTGTGTGTGTGTGTGTGTGTGTGTGTGTGTGTGTGTGTGTGTGTGTGTGTGTGTGTGTGTGTGTGTGTTTCTTCATTTAAACCGAGGATACTCAGACAGAGTCACTGGTGAGAAATTATTTTAATCAAATCAGTAAATGAATCTAGAGAGAACTTTAAAGCTACAACCCACAAAGCGCCCCTGTGAGCGTCATTCATACAGCACATCTCAGCTGTCGGGTAGCACCATATTTTGACAGGGACGTCATGTTAATGAATGAATACATTTTCCTTATGCTTCAATTAGTCTTATGAATGACTCATATGCTTAAGAGGACACCATACCTGTGTCTTGTATCAAGGAAGTGTAATGCTAATTATCCAAGACTAAATCTCCGAGACACATTTCATAAATTAGGTCTGATGTTACTTAGTGTGCAACTGAGTTTGAAAGCTCACTTCTGCCCAAAAATAAATAAAGTAAATATTTGGGATCATCATTATTCTGTGATGATTCTGTTAGAGATTACAACTCCTTTCCTTGGCGGTCTTACCTATCCTGTCCAACCTGTCAATGGCAACCGTCTCGAAGGCCCTCCTCATCATGGGATACTCCTCCAGCACCTCGTTGAAATTATCCACAGAGAGAGAGTAAAGGCGACAGTAGGTGTCCGCTCGCACGCTGGCCGTCCGTCTGCCTCGGGTCAGCAGACAGATCTCTGGTGGAGGGAAAGAGAACCCAGACGAGAGACGGACAGTCAGATCAAAAACACGCCAGACAAACAGACTTCAGGATGTCATACAGTGACACAGAAAAGAACAGAGCTACTATGAGTAATAAGAATTTGTTGAGCCCTCTGAAACAGTGCCCAGTCACAACACTGTTACAAAATAAAAATGTGTCTGGGTTGTAAACTCTTGGCCTTGGGCAAATGTGTGATCAGAACAAAAGTGGTTCATGCATCCAGTTGCTATGTGTAAGTCAGGATAACCCACTGACAGTAACACTGAGTATTTCCTCCAGCACTGGCACAGCACTGACAGCTATGTGAAGGAAGCACACTCTATATTTGGAGATGTGCAGCTAAGCTTCATTACATTCAGTTGTTCTCTGTCCCTTCCCCTAGTATCTTCTTCTCCCTAGCTTTCTTCTTCTATGGGCTGGGGCTGACTGTTGTCTTGACAACCATATGCCCTTCTTTTCCCCCACCAGAAAGGTTGACCTCCTCTGACTCTGTGGGAGAGGGAGAAAGATAACAAAATGCAAGGAGACTCCATTAAGAGCGTGGGTTGGGGCACTACACTGGAATCTGTTCATGACTTTGGTGTCTCTGGCAGCAGAGAGGGCTTCCAGTAAAATTGCAAATTCTCAAACCTAAAAGTAAAACCAAGGGCGTAGGTTTTCATATGGACAGTAGGGAAATGTCCCTACCAATATTTTGGGGGAACAGAATTGTCCCTGCTAATATTTGAGTGAACACACTATGTTTGGAGTGAAGTTATATTAGATGATTCCAACGTGACCTCCAAGAGGATACGTCTCGAAGACAATTGATTTAGGCAAGCTAGCATTTGATTGACTGTCATGTGAGAAGAATCTAATGCCTTACTATACTATTAGGTGTTAATGCCTTAATATACTATGACATTTTTATGCTTTACTATATTATAACATTTGTATTCCTTATAATGCTATAATGGTTTTTGTGCCATTTTTCTGCCTTACTATACTGTAGTGTACTCCTTGCTAAATTATAACATTTTATGTTTCTATTGTGTGTACGTTTTTAGGCCTCACTATATCATGACATTCTTATGTCTACCTATACTATGATGTTTTTCATGTTTTTATGCCTCACTATACCATGACATTATTATGTCAACCTATATTATGATGTTTTTTGATGTTTTTATGCCTCATTGTAATATGACATTTTTTGACATTTTATGCCATGGTATACTATGACGTTTTTTGATGTTTTTTTGCCTCATTGTAATATGACATTTTTTGACATTTTATGCCATAGTATACTATGACGTTTTTTGATGTTTTCATGCCTCATTGTAATATGAAATTTTTTGACATTTTATGCCATAGTATACTGTGACGTTTTTTGGTGTTTTTTTGCCTTACTATTCTATGACGTTTTTTGAAGTTTTTATGCCTTGCTATCCAATGACATTATTATGTCTACATATATTATGACGTTTTTTGATGTTTTTATGCCTCATTGTAATATGTCATTTTTTGACATTTTATGCCATGGTATACTATGACGTTTTTTGGTGTTTTTATGCCTTGCTATTCTATGACATTTTTTGACGTTTTTATGCCTTGCGTTACAATGACATTATTATGTCTACCTATTTTATGATGTTTTTTAATGTTTTTATGCCTCATTGTAATATGTCATTTTTTGACATTTTATGCCATAGTATACTATGACATTTTTTGACGTTTTTATGCCTTGCGTTACAATGACATTATTATGTCTACCTATTTTATGATGTTTTTTAATGTTTTTATGCCTCATTGTAATATGTCATTTTTTGACATTTTATGCCATAGTATACTATGACGTTTTTTGATGCTTTTATGCCTTACTATACTATGATGTTTTTTTAAGTTTTTATGCCTTGCTATACCATGACACTATTATGTCTTCATATATTATGACGTTTTTTGATGTTTTTATGCCTCATTGTAATATGACATTTTTTGACATTTTATGCCATAGTATGCTATGACGTTTTTTCATGTTTTTATGCCTTGCTATTCTATGACGTTTTTTCATGTTTTTATGCCTCACTATACCATGACGCTATTATGTCTACATATATTATGACGTTTTTTGATGTTTTTATGCCTCATTGTAATATGACATTTTTTGACATTTTATGCCATAGTA